ATAAACAGAACAAGGCTTACCCTGAGAACGTGTTTTGATGGAGGAAGAAACGCGAAGGTTGGCAACATGGTGTTTCAATGCCACGTGCTTTGTGCTGGAACGAACTTTCCTGGGGCTAAATTCCTTCCCTTCGCCAGGGCTGAAAATTCCTGTGAACAAGGATAATACTTAAATTAATGGAAAATCAATAGTTTTATGACAGGTTAGAAATAAGTAAAACAGTTTAAGCGAGAGTGAAGTTTTATTCGGCATATCAAGTAAGGGTTGGAACATGTGTTTAGCAGCCATAAACCTAAAAAAGCAAATGAAAACAAAGATAACTGACCTTATTGCACCTCTCTGCTAAAATTTACTCAAACCTCTGAAGTGTTGCGAACCTTTTTTCGTTAAAAATGCTGACAAAGGAGGTAAAAGGAAGATTTTTTGAGGAGTTCTCTCAAACAAAACTCTGAGGTGTTTCACTTGTTTGTCAAAAGCTGAATGGAGACTGATCACCCCACCAAACCCCACCAAACCCCACCAAATCGTGCCTGGCTTTTAGCTGACCGCCTGCTAATGCCTTTCCCTGATTGGCTCGTTGCATTGCAAGGGCTTTCCATCGCTCCACCCACTAATTTGCATTTCACGGTAAACAATAATGAAAACTTTGTTTACAACTTAAAATTTATGTTTTGATGTTTTTAATTTAACAGAGCAGCGCAAGGGACGTTTTCATCTTGTGAGGGTTAACTCAAATTGAGCTTATTTTTTCCTTTTATTTCCAGAGTATCCAGTCACAAAAAGTGACATTGATGTAAATCACGTGGGCTTGTCAAAATTTGTGATTGGCTCTTTTTTCGCGGAAAATTTCACAAGTGACATTGATGTGGGATAGCTCAAGGGATAGGCTCGATTACCAGCCGCTGTTTGGGAAAAGAGCCCGCGCTCCTCCCCCGGAACGTAGACCGGACTCGAGAAAGCGGCGGAAATCGAGCCTACTCAAGGGATAGCTCCAAATTCTAACATTAGCGCTTTTATACAGGCAGATTTTATTCAGATTTTTCGGTCCTACAAGAGACCCTCGGCCCGACATAAAAAGTCGGTACACACGAGGGGACTAATCCCTGCGACTGGTTCCTGCAACAAGTCGCGGGGACAAGTCCCATCGTGTGAACTGGCAATTTTTGCTTCACAATCTAGTCGCAGGGACCAATCTTTGGTCCGGCTGCGACTAGTCCCACGAATTCAAACCAGTTTTGAATTTTTGAAGTCCCTGCGACCGGTCCCTTCCTTTAAACTCTTCAGGGGACTAGTTGCAGGGACTAGTCGTAGGAACTAGTCCCCCCCGTGTGTGCCGACCTTTAATTTTCCAACATCTTCAACATTTTCCGGAAAACAGCAGATAAACCCCAAATTTTTTTGAGAATTTAATCCTGGTATACTCACAATTTCGGTTGAATGATTCGCATTTCGGAAATCATCAATTGTTGGACCTTCCGGAAACTTTGCAGGAAATTTATTTAGTCTCTGCCCCCGTTTCAAAAGTTGCGGAATTTTCAGTCGAATCACCCCTCTGCACTGTAAACTCACGGCTAATTTGTTAACGAAATCTGACATTCGATAAAAAGAATCTCTTTTCAACTTTAGGTTAAGTGAATAAAAATGCTAAAAATCTTACCTAGCTATCGTCTTTTATGTGTTTCAACACTTCGGGGAGGATCAGGAAATCGTTTTGGGTGAAGTTCAACTCTACGGTTGAACCAGCAGCTATAGCGTACTGAAGAGGATAAATTTTCTTTCGTAAAGAAGACTCGTGAAGAGATGGAGACGTTTTTTACTAATAAAAATGCTAGCAAAAAATTAATGGTTTGTGTCCAGAGCACGTCTTATTGCGTCTATAGGGAACACTTTATATCGCTACTAGCCGGGCCAAGAGAAAAAAGGCTGTAGGAGGATTGGAGAAAATTGATAAACTTGGAGATCTTTTAATCTAACTAGTTTTTCTCCCCTAACTAAGAAAGCTGTGTACAGCGCAGGAATTGTCAGCATGCTACTCTGTGGCGGTGAGACCTAAACTGCTGACTGCTGACGACCTGGACATGTTATCCCGCATCCTCGGGATAACAGTGAAGAACAAAGGCCAACAACCTCAGTAAAGCAGGTCACTATCATGTATACGCCGCTTCATCAACACCGGCTCCGCGGACTCAATGACGTCCGAAGCCGGATGAATGACGATCTTATCCCTACAGACCTCTTAGGGAAACGATTAGAAACTACATTTTAAGGCCCGTCCACTCTACGCCGGAGAAATTTGAAAACGGAGCTTTATTTCTACGGTTAGGCCTACCTTCCACACTAGTCCGTCACGAAAACGGAGCTTTTCCAAAGCGCTTTTCAAACTGGAGGAATTTGAAAACGCTGGCTTTGCGCTTTAGTGGGGATAGAAAACATTTTGCAAACGTAGCTTTTCGCCACGAAAATCATTTAATATTCCTGCCCGAGTTTTTCTTAAATACAAATCCAAAATGACCGGTGATTGCTGGGTTTTCAAATTTCTCCGGCGTGGTGTGGATGGAAAACATTTGATGCGCTTTCAGAGTGAAACCTACGTTTTCAAATTTCTCCGGCGTAGTGTAGACAGGGCCTTAAAGATATGTACAAAAGGTACAAGAATTCCGACGCAGGGACGTGCGAGGTACTGGTTGGTTAACCAGTATTCCGCACGTCCCTTGTAAGAGGGAGACGAGCGATGAAGGTCAGTTGCAAGATCTCAATAACCCTACACAAGGCACAGTTCGTCTACCAGGACCGGGGCCATGGCCGGGTTGTTCAAAGCCCGATTAAGCTAACCCAGGATAAGAGAGAATTTTGATTTGAGTTTTGTAACTTTGCGGTGAGGTTTTCTGTTTCAATTGTTTGGCCTTTTGTTTTGAGTCTGAATAATCTCAAACTAGACAAAACATAAGCAGTGAAAAAAAAAATTATACAAGAAAAATTTACACTGTGGTTAACTGTTAATCCCAGGCTAGCGTTAACCGGCTTCCGAACAACCCGGCCCATATAAATCTCAAATTTGGACTGTTTAGCCACAGCAAGCACCGCACCCAACCAACCTCAAATTCTACAGTGCGCCTAATCCATGGACGTTGTCCAACTGATGCCTACTGCCTTCTAGTCTTCCCTTTGCTCTCCACAATCTTCCAGGTTCAGTTTATTAATGGCAGCTACACAATCACATCACCACATTTCTTGAAAAATGTGTTTAATTTCAGATCATTGGATTTAAGAAAATGTTTCACACCAAACTACATTTACAGCGAATTTATTCTCTATGGAACCTTTCTGGAATGTGCAATTGTGCGAGACGATTTGATATCACGGCCTTACTGCATGCAGCCCAGGTGCAGCCACTGCATATATTAACAGAATCAAATCGTCCCTTTTATGGTACAGAAGTACTTAGTACAGTGTTACTGTAATAAGGAAGTGTTAACGTAAGATATCTGATTCAATTGAAAAATCTTTAAGAATAAATAGAACTTACTTTACCAATTTGTTGCAGCTAAATGAGCGGCCAAAAGGTTTCAGTGGAAGTCTAGTGCGCAGGTGTAGTGCAGAGCGCCCTTAATTCTTCATGACAGTTTTCCTGCCGTCACGCAACTCCCGAGTATCGCGTGACAAAGCGAAAGAACCAATGTATGAAAGCTTGGAATGGAAACCAGTTCTAAAACAATTAGATTCGAATTAAAATGAACCTAATATATTAGATTTTTCCTTGCAGTTGCGTTCTAACTGCAATTCGGTTTAAATGTTACGCATTGATTCGTACAAAGCGACTGAAAATCTTATATTTACTAAATGTAATAACATATACTTACAACAAATTCTTTTTGCACATCATCGTACACGAAAAAAAATAAATATTCACAGTAAGTGTAATATTATAAATTCGAGTTTGCAGGTATTACAAAATAGCTCATATCCATTACATAGAAAAATAAGTTACGACTCCATCATTATTTAAATTGCTTATTAATTTCACAAAAATGCTTGCAACTGTTCAATATTACTTGGAAAATATGTATGGTACAAGAATATATTAACTTCTTGGATAACATTACGCCGTTAATTTGTGCATTTTTGACTATTTATAAATTCATTCAAGGAGAGACGAAACTGCAAAAAATATATTTTCTAGGTAAAAAAAAGTCAGATTTATCCAACCCCCAAATTAAGCATTTCTGTACAAAACCTAGGTAAAATAAGCTAAAGGATACATTCGCAATGCGTTCTGTGCAGCGATTAAAATTACATGTGCCATTCCTGCTTCTGCACTGGAAAAAGATGTTCAGCCTTATAAATTGCAATTGCCCAAACTACGTACAACACGAGACAAATTCTCTTTTGCCTAAAGTTTGTGAAGCAAAATAGCTTTTTTTCCTGAAAGTCTTATCAGTTATTGACCCCCAGTCCATGAAGGGTTTAATAGATCACTTTCAAAATTCGATCCATGGTAGAAAGCAGCGTTGCGACAAAATTATCGAATATTTCGACATGAACTTTGGCTACAGATTTTTCAAGATTTCAAGACTTTCATGATTCAAAGCTCTTTCGTCAATTTACTGAAACGATAATTCAGCGACAACGAACTCCAGCATACCAGAACTATACTACTTATGTCGCTACATAAATAGAAAGTGTAGTTGTTGTCAGATTGGAACTGGTTCGTGTCCATCAGTGAAAACCACTTGTACTTAACTTAAATAAGAACCAGTAAGACGCAGACGTATTTCCGGCTGTCGCTTGGCTCCGCCGAAAATAACGTCTGCGAACCCGAGCCAGGAAACGATTTCTGTGACGTAGGAATTTTAAGCCAATCGCAGTTTAGCTCAAGTAGCCCCAGAACTACTGCGCGAGGTATTTGCTGCGAGGAGCACTCGAGTCTCATTCTATCATGGAATCTGATTGGCCAAGGGGAAACAAAAATGATTACGTCACAGAAATCGTTTCCTGGCTCGGGTTCGCAGACGTTATTTTCGGCGGAGACAAGCGACAGCCGGAAATACGTCTGCGTTCGCAGGCTAGATGAGTCCTTGAAGTCTGCTTTCCCAAGCATTTGTCTCCTCTCTCCTGTGCAGTCGTTCAATGTGATTGTGTAGGCATACTCAGTGCGTCGTCATTCTCATATTAATTGCAGTGGTTGTCTGAACTCTCTTTCTCTCTCTTTTCTGGCACTCTACGAGTTACCAGCTCCCACATGGTTTGCTGGTTTGGGCTGAACAGCTGCACTTACAGGGATTGCAAAGGTGCCACCAAAGGAAGAAGAGACCATACCTGTGAAAATACATCCAAAACACATAATGTCACTGCACCAGAATCTCAAAACACTCGTCAGTCTTCTCTACTTCGCGAATAGTCAACACGTATCCCGTGAAGTCGTCAAGGAATATTGCTTTCATACTTAGCAGGCAAAGCCAAAACGAACTTTGGCAAACTTCATATATCGCAGGACAATTTGTTGATTGATAACAAGGCGTGATGAGACATTATAACATGCTGACTTGGCTTCAGAACGCATGCCGGAAATTCCATTTCCAAGGACCACGATTTAAACACTTTACGTGGGGAGATGCCCTAAGACCCCCTACAGTGGACCACCTCTCAAACCCCTATCTCTAAAATCCTCTATCTGCCCCAGGACTGGGTGTACACCAGAAACTAACCTGGCACAAGAGCAGCGGAGTTTGTATGAGAGACAGAAGGTGAACCTCCCTCTGACACGACAGGTGGTCTCATCACTGGATTGAATGCACTCTTCTGTTTCACAGCTTGGATCATGTTTGGCGGGAAAGCAAACATCCCTGCATTCCCATTTGGCGGTACACTGTTAGGTGTCGGAGGCAGTGATGGGGACTGAGGAACAACTGCAACAACAATCAAAAAGTAAAGATTACATTAGTTTAATATACAAACAACTAACTAATAGATTTAAACAAGAGAGTTACGGTGGCCAAAGGGCCTGCGTGCTTGAATTTGGATCAACCATTGCTGAGTCGAGGTCACTATGTTATTTTCTTAGAAAGACATTCTAATCTCTCAGTGCATTTCTCCACCCAGGAGTAGAAACAGGTACTGGTAAATTAAGTGATGGGGGGTAACAACNCACACACACACACACACACACACAACTAGCATCCCATAGAGGAGGGGAAGTAAATATAATCTTAGTCACAAGTTTAATTTCAAGGAAAACAGAGATTTAAAATAATATTCTTAATTATTGGCTTGTAAAAGAACACAATGCTCCAAGCCCTTAAAACAATAGCAACTAAAAACATGGAATGTAGAACAAAAAATATTTTCCAATTGAAAATAATCACTAGCTAATGAGGCAAGACTACAATATCTATAAAAAGGAAAACATGATTAGACTGGGCAACACAAGTGAAAATCCAGAAACTGATCACAAAGTAAAATGAAACCTGAGTCAGTGATCTTAAATAATATCTTACATGTGGCACCATTGAGGAAACCAGGTGATGAAGGAACAGCCATATTGTGTAGAGTTATTGATGGTGGAAGCCCTCCTGAGTAACCATTGATACCATTGGGTGCACTAGTCATGCTAATTGCAGCTGACAGAGGTACTGGCACATCAGAGTTAGCAGGGGAGGCTACATGTCCTTCACTTGACAAAGAAGCACTATGTGGATATCCTGGCAGCATATTTACATGTCGTGTGGTGGGTGTGCTGCTTCCTAAAGCACAAAAACATGGCTCAAGTTACATTTCTCTCTTAATTTAAACATCATGGTCAATCAATAACCAACAAAAGCTTGCTCAAACAAACAGCTAACATTTATCTTCAGTGTTGAGTAAATTTAAAATGTCAAAAATGCCAGCCCTTACATTAAATAATAGTAATAGGGGTTAATTTATAAACAATTCTCAATTAATTCTTGCAGGTTCTAACTGCAAATGCAGTACACAAAACGTTTTTACATGCTTATCATTTACTTAACTTTAAACACCTATTGTCATGTGTTTTAGGAGGGTTACAAGCTAAGAATCACAAGCATATACCTCACTCTGCTCCCAGTTATATGTTTAATCAAGGAGTAAATTAAAATTATTATTAATACTGCTATTTAATTTTTTGCAAAACTTATATTATTCATTCTATTTACCTGATGTAACAATAACTTCATTATTGTTGACATCAGTCTGTGCAGTGGAACTTCCTATTCTCTGCTGTTGACTGCCAGGGTTTGCACTGCCGTAAACAACAGATGGAGCATCCGGATTACCAATAGCAACATACGTTCCTCCATTGGTGATTGCATCAGGTGATATGGCTGTTAAGTGTTGTCCTATCATCATTGAATGAGCACTGCTAGCAGTGGTTGGGGGAGGACCTCCAGGGGGTGGATATTGCGACCCGTGAATTTGGGTTGGAGTGCGAGGAATGTTGTAGCATACAGCTTCAGCAAGATCTGCTGCTCTCTTTAATATGATTTCCTGAAAAGAAACAATTGTGAACATTAGTAACTATGACATAGAAAGAAATGAAGAAATAAAAATGAATTGAGGAAACTGGAAATGGACTGTTTTGACTTGTATAATCTTGTATAAAAATAATTTTCTATTTTCCTCATCATGCAAATAACCGGCTGCAACAGCCTATGAGGAAAAAGTCTATCTTTCACTATTTAAGGCACAATATGAAAAGCACACATGTAAGAGCAATGTAAATTTTGTACTTTACACTTAAACTCACCTTGGGCAACTTTTCAGGATCACCAGGGTGTCGTGGAATCAACTTTGTCAATCTTTGGAAACCATAGTCAATGGTAGGCTCACAAAGTGCTGCGTAAAAGTCACGACAAAATTATTGAAACAAAATTTGACTTATAATAATTTTAACTGACTCAGCTAGAAATAGAAAACAATACAAAAGACTTAGGAAGTAATAATTTGGTGGCTTACTCTAGAAACCTGTTTAAATTTTTACACATTTTCCAGTGGCTTACCAGAATAAATGAATCTTCCAGGAGCAGTCTTGCAGTACTGTTTATTTCTATACATCAGTGTTACCTCCACCATACCTGGGATGGGTCTGGGTGGGGCTTGGACACGGATAGCATTGGGGGTAATAAACTGCAAATAATGGCAGGAAAAAAATCATTAAATAAATATGTTAACCAGTCCTGACGTCTTAGTAAGAGGGGGAACGTAAAGATCAAGAATAGATATTTTCCAAGAGACAACTGATAAATTGTAAATTAAAGTATATTTTTGCATGGTGGCCCAGCAACAGGGATCCAATTGGCTTGTAGCTGGCTGATAGTTGGCAAGGGGCAAGGCCCAGAGCCAATTAACAAAGTCAATAAAAAACCAAGAACAACCATCTTTTGTAATTTGTTTTAGCATAAAAAATGTTTATTTAAAGAAAAATGTTTTTATCTCAAAAAGGTCACAAAAACACCAAGTTGTTTAGAGCCTTTTTTAAAGATTTGGAGCACTATTGCCCATTTTGTCTATTTCCCAGAATCTAAAACTAGCGCAAGGCAAATGGGGCTGTACACCACTCCAACTTGGTGAGCTTATACATCATTGCAAATCTTGGAGTATAAAATTAATATAAATAATAAATGGCTTACTTTGTAATCAAATGATTGATAAATTGATCATTACCTCACTCCAAACAATCAGTGAACCAAACACGACTTGCAGACCATCAAAAAAGTTATCTCCAATCACCACAACATTAGTTCCACCTGTTGTCCATCCCTCATTGGGACAAATAGCCTTGATACTTGGATAAGCTGAAGACAAAACATTAAGAGGTTTAAATTTTTGTCTTCCTTATTGTAGAATAGAAGCCATTACTATTGATTATGTCTAGGTGTGAACACACTTCGATGCACACGCTTCGGAGAATTTGGATTACCATCTGTCAAACTTCAAATGACTGACGGATGGATCATGCTACAGTTGAAATCCAATTGATGTCCATTTCATAATGCCCCTCTGAACCCTGAGCTATGTCATATATGGATAGGTATATATCCCCCTGGGGAAGTACTCTACAAAGTTTTACATGGGGAGGTTCTGCCAAGGTCCAACCCCTTAATATCCTTTTGTATACCATTTTGACTGAAAAGAGGTACCTCTTTCACATACTTTCATAAATGGCCCGTATTGGAATAAATCGCCAAAAAAGGAAATATTAATATTTATATGTAGCACCTAATAAAGGAAATGATACAGCAATAAGGTGCATCTGTTCAAATATTTTAATTAAAGGTCCTTTAAAGTAACTAATTGACAGATTTCCCTACGTTTTCATTTACCTCAACTTGTGAAATCTCTGCCCTTTTATATACTGGAAACCTGAAAAAGGTAGCCCTTTCGGGCGGAGCCTTCCTATATAGGCCATTATAGGTAGGCATTTTCAAATGAGCTGTGATATTACTCCACACCTGTTGCATCCGAGCTTTGAAAGAGTGTTACTGTGAAAGTCAGAAAACCGTGAACACCAGAGATATTTATGGTGTGTTATTTTGTNTCAGCTGTTTTTGTGTAGGTATTTGTGAAGGGTCATGCATTAATCCATTCTGGGAAGTGGGAGGGCCACGCCTTTTTTCGCAAAAAATTTCCAAAATACCCGACCCTACCCCCCCCCCCCCACCCCCCCCCCCCCCCCCCCCCCCCCTAATAATACCCATACCATTATAGGGAGTACCTCTCCCACTGATATTACCCAGCAACTGTTACCTAGTAGCTAGGGCCACATGATAAGAAAGTGATACTGAGGTATGTCGTGGTGTTGGACATTCCATCCTGGGGAAGTAGTGATAGTCCTGGTTGCTTCATGCTACCAAAACTGGAATAAGATCTGACAATGAGCCAGAGTTTGAGTGAGACTTGGTACAAGGGGATATAGGAACTGAATGAACAGCTTTTATTTTAAAAATAATAAGAAGAGACTCGCCATAGGCTGATTCTACTTTGCGGCTTTTTCTTCCATGTTTGGAATTGTTATGTACAAACATGTTATCAGAGCACGCCAACATTCCAGCAACAGGATCAGGTGAGGAGGAAACATGTACCTGCAAAGAAATAAAAAAGAAAAATTAGCTAAGAAAGTCAAAATAAGAAAAAAATGTTAAGTGTTGTGCCATAAATGCTCTGTAAGCCTCCCACTTCTCATTTACATGTACTTAACAGTAACTCTCCTGGTCCCAACCGTCTGTCCCAAGGGATGCCTATTCCCTGAAAAGCCAACAGACCTTTGCACAAAGAAAGAGGTAAAATTTTCTGCAGCAATTTTTTTTTTTCCATACAGTCATGCCATGGCCAAATTATAATATGAAGTTAGGTCTCTTTTTTAACATTCTGGGGGAGGGGATTGCATCTGAACTTCCCACCTCCTATCCTCACCTCACCTATCTTCTTTGTGCTCTGTTGTGCGTAAGACCCCCCCTCCCACCTCCTATACCTTTTACATTTTGCTGCCACCCTTTCCTTAGTGGCTCCCAACTTGTGGTAGTTTATCTATTGCAAAACATTCCTCTCCTCTCTCACCTCCTGTAAAGTTTCTGATTATAAAAGTAAGAGAAACCAAGGTGAAAACAAGAGCAGGAAAGAGTAGATGGGGAAGAAAAATAAAATACTACGGATACATTCAAATACATGTGCAGTTAGCAAGAAGAAAGTTGCACTGCCAATGAAGAAAAGTTTTAACTAAGATGATTTCCACTGAACATTTGAGCAATGATGGCAAAAATAAAGTTACCAAAAAAACCTCATAGGATGGTAATATTTTGAATAAAGGTAGGAAGATCTTATCGAGACTTAAGGTCCAAAGCTGACCCCGCAAGAGAAAATTGAACTTGAAGTTATCCATATTTTATCCATATGTTACACACACATTAAGCATTCTTACGAGGTTTGACATTAAATTTCTAGAGAATGCTTGGGGATTAAATTACGGGGTCACCCAGAGAATGAACCACAGTGAGGTGTTTTAAATAGTATTGAAAAAGTTACTGTGCTGTGAGCAGATTTTTAGTAATACTTTTTGCACTTATTGCTCGAACTTTGAGCGGAATCCATCTTAAATACTAAAATTATAGTAATAAATTAACAATAATTACTAATAAATTAATACACTACTGACTTATGAAATAAATGTTTTACCTGAAATCGTCTCATATCCCTTGGATTTCCCGCATTTTTCAGACAATTTTGATTGCACTTGAGAAAGAATTTCAAAAAGAATCTGCAAAGTAATAGAAAAGTATCTGACGCTTCTGATTAATGTCTCTTTTCTCTTTACAGTACTATAAATCATCCATCGTGTACATGTGAGAAGAATAAAGAAAAAGGTCTGGCATGCACAGTTGAAAAATTGTTACTGAACTTGTAAACAGGTTTGTAACAGCACTGAGAACATCAGATTAACCCTGGAACATTTGCTTTTAATCTGAAGTTTCTTTTATTAGTAATATGAAAGTCACAAATACTCATAAATAATATTATTATCTCTTAAGAAGAAGTATGTTTCACGTTTGATCTACTCCTCTAGAACAAAGAAATGAGTGGGGTACAAACAATTTGGCTGAATGTGACTAGATTTATCCATGGTATGTACCAGGAATGCACGCTATTGTAATAAAAAGGAAATGTACTGTTTCCTTTTTAAGATATTAACAATGTTAAATATTGTGCATAGATACACCCAAAAGTTTTTTTAAGTTTAAGTAACTTAATTTAACTTCTATTTCAATTACTGCCCTGAAACCTAAATTTCTCGCTAGATTTATGGGTGGGGTCTGCTAACAAGCCACCAAGCTTACTTCTTTCAAACTAATTTAAACTAACTGAGTGATTTTTCTGAGCAGCATCAAGATAAAATAACACAACACTAACTCTTATCAATAACAATTTGTCAACTATTTACTACTCTCAACAAAATGCGAACAAACTCATGGCAAGATAATTAATTGAACACTATTTCCATGGAAACAGGTAAACATTTTTTTTTCAAGGCGACTATTTATACTATCTGTAATTGAAATGAAAACAACACCTGATTGTCTCTACAGTGACAAAAACTCAAATTAACTTTGGCATTTCTTTTTAGATGTAAATCTACAAAGGTTATCAAGCTTTATGGTGAACTAATAACTAACAGTTCAACTGAATAAATATATTAGAAGAATTTTCTCTACGATACTTTATTTAGGAGAATAAGTTTGACCGTATTATTGGTCAGGCAATTTTTAAAACTTATAGCACAAAGTAAGTATTAAAACTTTAGAAATGGCATTATCACTTTTTTTTAATAGTGTCCAGAATATATTCCTCTCAAAAATCCCGTTTTGCATAGGTATTGTTCAGATAAACAAAAGCAAAGAACAATTAAAGCATACTTTACACCTCTCAATGTAATCTCTTGCATTCACAAGGCAAACAATGGCAGAATAAAATGCATTCCTTCAGCAAGACATATTACATGGTATACTTTTCCCTTTGGGAAGTTTTTGGACCCAAAACACCACATGGGAACATATCTTACTATATCACAATGTTACATTTTATGTACCTGTCTACCACAACAGGGTCCGATGGAGTCTCATTTTTGTTACCACATGATTTCTTTTCACAGCATCGGCTGTAATCAGGAGAAGACAAAAGATTACAATATTAGTATTCAACACCATGCTCAGGCATTTTTGGTTAATGACGAAACATAGTATATTCCAAAGACCCTCCACAACTAATCACAACTGTAGAAAATTTCCTAATATTGATTTATCATTATGAAACAAAACTTTACCTGCACATTACTTCATGGGTCATGAGAACACGACACATTTCAGGGTTTTTGTCTTGGCCCTCATACACAATAGGCTGAAGTAAACAAAACGGTTCTGTGTAAGTTTTATATTAAAGCAAAATATGAACGTCTTGTTTTCTTTCCAACTTTACTTGTAAAATTAGTTAACTTTTTAATCAAAGACAAACCAGAAAACTAGGGGTTCTAAAATTTTCCCAACAATTTGTTTTTGCTCAAACCGAAACCATTATATGAGAACAATAATTAAGCTTATTGAGAACTTTTTTTGACAAATATTTGCAACTAAAGAATGTTTAAAATTTACTAATGATTTACCAAATATCGACATCACTCCATTTATACACACAGTAACAATCTGATCGTAAATCTTGGTTTTTAGGTCAATAGGTAATTGAACTTTCAAGATCTCTATTGTCAGCGTTAAATTTGCCAGGATCATAAAACTCATTAGTGTAACTGGAAAAGAATGTTAATTACTCTTCAAGTGATGGGAAGAAAATTATGGTAATTTCTTTTTTCAAGCACCAACGCAAGAAAAAAAAGATACTGTTTATAAGCTTTATACCTGCTTCGTCGTCGAGTTAACAAGCCGAATGAAGATGTCTTGCTCACTTCGAATTCCTAGAGGACGAGTACAGTAATAAAACTTTAGAAGCCTGTAAATACAAGGTTCTACGTTTTCTAGTTTGCACCGCGCGCGCGAATTGTTAATTTCGACGCAGAAGACCACAATTTGCTTCTTTCAGAACTTCTATTTTTCCAACCGTCTATGACGAATGTTAGTTTTTGTCCTTATTCATTTATCACCAATATTGAAACTGATCTTTCAAGCCTGAGCAAACAATTTGTACAGTTTGTTTAAAGAAGCAACTCCCTAGGCAACTTGAGTAAATACTCTAAGGCACTGAGAATGGTCACATTCCGTTAGACGGCCAGTTGGGGTTAACGTGATGAAACCTGGTTAGACACCGGAACCAAAATGTGTCTCTATAGACCTCGGATCACTTTTCCCCTGTCGACGGTTATTTTCCGCAAGTGAATTTCATATTCCCACTGGGGTCCCTCTTAATTTGATAACGAGCTTACTCATACACACTTCATCGACCGTCAAATGTACACACACATGGGCAAGTGAACAGGACAAACTCACCATTGCTGTAGAGAAGTTGAAGTCTGTACGAAGCGCCGTTTCGGACATTTTTCTGATCCTGCAGGAAAGAAAACCGAATCGAAATACTTACATCTGGACAGGGAAGTTTAAACCAACAGTTGTTTATTACATTAACCAGGAAAATATTTAGAAAAACCTACCGGCAGGTGTTCGATGAATCCCGTAAAAACTGCGCGCTCGATCTCGACAGCTTGCCCTGTGCGATCATAGAATGCCAAGACGAAGTGGAAAAAGTTGCTTTTCCGGAGATTTGACGGAGGCTGCTTCTCAAAATGTGCTCTGGCCAAGCTACATCCGCTGGAAAACAGAAAGAGCAGGGTAAAAAAAAAAAAGTATCATAAAGTTTTTCCGTGAACTGTAAAAAAAATACAAGTGTATTTGACAAGGTATTCGAGAATGTGAAAATCACGTGGCTTGTGCATACGACGCTATCTAGGAGGAAATCGCTGCGCACTCATATCTAAATGCGCCCAACCTGGCCACTTGATTGCTGTCCATGGTAGCTGGCTGCATCCAGCCAACGCTTTCTTCTTTTAGCGGTGAAGTAACGCTATGTTCTTGCATGGATGTAAAAGTTAGTTGACAACGGCCAAAATTTGTCTTGCGTTGCAGTGCCGAGTTCGACAAATATTTTCACTCGAGAGCGCGTCGAGTTCTCTTTTGCTGTCGGAGTGAAAGTCGATTTGACTCTACATTCGCTGGTTTGCCGGTCTTTTGGCTTCAACGCGGGTCGCGGTCACAAGTCGTGGGTTTCTTTGTTGTCGTGAAGAGTTTGTGAAATGTTCAACTCCCAAAGGACAGCAGAATATGTAGTGATTAACCTCCCGAGGGAATTATGAGGAGAATGCAGAATCTAATATATTTACAATGACGTCGTCCTTGACCAACCAAATCGGCCGTCGCTATTGTCTGTGACAATGCCTTAAGTAAACAGCTTTTGTCTCTATTAAAAATATTTATCCTCTCTTTGACCAATCCGGTATCAGACATAAAGAATGGCGAGTAACGCAAAGCACGTGGCACTACGTGACCGTGACTGTAGCACGTTGTTGCTTATTACGAAGGCAAATTCGCTGATCGGAAATAACTTTCAAAGCAGAAAAATAATGGACATCCTGTTCTTCTTTCGTAATCTTTTTGAATATAAATTCACAATGAAGAACTACCTGGAAACTATGCGAAAGCAAATTGGACAAAAACTAGTGTGCACCCCATCCGAGATTTCATTTGTATCAGAGCCGAACTGTACGACAGGGCTCTATCACGGTTAGCTGTGATAGCACGAGCTCCTCAAAAAACATTTCGGCTTTAACAGCCTTTTTTAATGCGAAATCAATCAAGAACCAATGAGTGAGTAAGAGGCTCCTGAGAAATCTTAATAAATGATTTTTAGACAAAGTGGAAATGAAAACTCGAAATCAGGCAAAAAATCCGCGTAATATTTGTTGGTCTGAAATAGAATAAGGAGTGACAAATCCCTAATGGAAGCTTGAGCTCCGGGGTAAAGGGCTGCTGTAGGGTTAACGAAGAGGATAAAGAAAATTGGCTATAGCATGCACTCTTTTACCGACATTTTTTTCTTTGTTCTATAAAAATCAGCTCGCTTACAAGGCAACGAGCTTGACTCGACCAGAAACGGCACTCTTGTGCAGTAAAGCAGTGTAGTTAATGTCTCACTCAAGATTTTACCGTGTTTTTAAATAAATAAAGTATGTAAATTGTAAACTTCTTTAGTAAACCCCAGGCAGTCATTATCCTCTCTTGTATAAGGTAATGACACAACGGTTTCCAGCATTTTTAGCGCTTATCTTTGATGTATCAGTGCTACCACGTACCATTCTGGTCCACTCTCTTTCAATTGATACTGTAATATTGGTGAAAAACAAATGTCCAATGTTCAAGGCTTATAAGGTTACCATAGCAACGGAATAAACTGTTTTTCAGTGCCGAGATTAAAAAATTATTGTTGGAGGAAGCTCAAAGTTGCTTTAATTTTTGGAAAATTTGAGGTGTTTCTTAAACTACTACCAACTTTGCGTCACCGGATTCACTTTTGAGCTATGAGCACTCAAAGCTAAGGGGCAAACCATTTGACTTTTGAGGGAGGGTTGGGTTGGAGATTTTAAAAAAAAATTTCCTGCGGCTCCCAAGCAAAGAAAAAAATTCATGCATGACTGACGCTGAGAAAAAAAAATCATGCACGCGTTGGGCAGCCAAAAAAGAATTCTTACAAGTCGTACACAGCCCATCCCTGCCTGTAGTCCAGGAAATCTAAGTCGTTTACATACAAGCTGTGCTCTTTTATTCAATAAAGCAAGGTTGTCTCAAAAAAAGGAGTTCACTGAGTTCATCGAGTCGTGACTAAATATTTAAGTTATCTAATCCTTTTTCTAGCATGACAATCTTTTATACCATCAATAAATAATATTATTATTTTGTTTGTGACCGTTTGAATCAAAACTCTCGCATTCAATTTGGAAGATGACTGATTCGAGGTCTTGCATCAATAGAAATGGGGTTGGCAGTCCTGCACCGTGACTCCCAGGCGCCTGTTTTAGACGAGTATATCTTTGAGCAAACAACCTTTTTGCATGAAACATCGAAGGAACGGATTCCTGTAGATTTCGCCGAGTAATGGTTGTTGTCCTATTAAATGCCATTTTTTCGTGAGGATTTGTTTAAAGGTTTGACACTGATAGTTGATATTGCGTGACAAAAGACAAAATTCGTTTGTTTTCCCTTTTCTGTTTTGGTTGGAGGGCTACTTTCCTCATTTCAAATTTCCGGCTTCAGAGAGGGTTGTCAGAATAAGATTCTCTCGCTAGCCTCTTTCAATACGGTGTGATCAGTGAAGATATTGATTTTCTCTTGAAATATTTTCGTCGAAGAGTTTGTTCTGAGAAGTCTTGGAGCATCTCCTTTGATGAAACCTTTTTTACTCTCGGTAGGTGGGTTGAAGTGAAGTGGATATATTGAAACGTCTCAGTAGGCTTGAAGTGTGTACGCACATCAAGAACAGAGTCTTTTTATTAATCTTTTGACTTTAGAAATGTTAGTATCCAGGAAGGTCGTTTTTGTTTCAGATACTTCAGCCGTAAATTTTATTGTTGGGTGGAGGTTATTTGCCCGGCGTTCAATGAACTGTGCTATTCCTCCTCTGTTTATAGTGTTTATAGAGTGAAATTATGTTGTTTCAATATGAGCGGTTGAAATGCACTTTGGCTTAGGATTTCTGTTTCTACCTTACTCATGAAGATGTTAGCAAATGCTACTGCCATCTTTGTGCCCATGGCTTGCCATGTATTTGGAGGCAGTTTTTTTTTCAGTGAACTGGAATTAGTTTCCTTGTAGAATTAACCTCAGGAATTCTTCCAGTAGTGGTGGTGGGATAGGAGTTTTGTTAACGTAGAATGTTTCCTATGCTCTGTATACTGTTTTGATTCCCTCCTTTTGTGGTATGTTCGTATAGAGGCTCGGTACGTCCATTGAAAAAAGTATAGCGTCCGCTAGGACTTGTTTTTTCTACGAAATTAATGGAGTCCGTTGAAGTTGAGATAAGACTTCTTTAAGTCTTTAAGTCTTCTTTTCCGTGATCTTCTGTTGCTTTGCAACAGGTAGGGCTGTCCCACTCCTGATTGACTGAAAATAAAAAAATCTGCCTTGTTGGTCAGTGGGGAAAAAATATTTCCCCTCTCCCCCCTTCTCAAAAGTCAAATGGTTCGCCCCTAAAATAAGAGTTTTGCCAGGGATTTATAAAACTTATGCTGTTAGTAGGATGACCTTTTGCCTCACAAAAAAGGCCATGGTTTTTTTTTTTATCAGTGATTGAGCATTTGTTTCATTCCATTGTGTAGCACTGTAACTGAAAAAAAAAATGGTAGAAAAAAATTGATACAGGGGGTTTCGTCGCCTGAGTCTTAGACGGTCCAGACGGTGCCAAGGGTTTTGGGGAATGGATGTGATTTTTACACGACGTAATATACGACCTCCACTTTTACGCTGTGTGTAAATACAGTCGGCCCAGTTTCATTTTCAAGAAGAGCAAAGATGGCCGCCACGTCTCCTTCTATACCACAGCTTTTCACTGAATTAGATAGATTTGCAAAGGACGGAAATTATGCCAAAGCTCAGAAAATCGCTAACAAGAGTAAGAGAAGACATTTAATCATTCTGGTAGATGATTTGTTTCAGTTAACCGTAAGCTTTTTCTGTTTAGTTCTACAAGAAAAACCTGACGACAAGGAAGCATTTCATTGTAAGGTGATCGCTCTCATTCATCAGTCATTCTTTCGGGAAGCTGTCGATGTAATCAACTCAGCGCCGAAGAAAGGGTAAGCATAAGATATTTTTGTGTTTCATTTGTTATTATGAAGGAGAAACAACTGCAGAAACTTCGTTCAAATGGTGATTAAACAGTACAACCCCATTCTTTGTGTGAAGTTCTCCGCATAAGCCAGCTTTATACTTTCAGTAGGTTTGATGGTTCTGGCATCGAAAGGTTAGCTAGAGATCAACCAATAGTTATTTTTGGGAAGTAAACAAGCATTAAAGTAGTGAAAAGCTTACTCCAAGAATCTAGCCAATCTGATCATATATATCTCTCCAGAGCCTCCTTTTTGTTGTGCCAAGGCCCTGCTGACTAAGAGGGGCAGGCGGCTCTGAGAACAAGAATGCAACATTTTTTCCTGAATCTTCCGCTTATACTATCTAGAAAAACATTTAAACTATAACATTTGTTACTCTTTGAGTTCTCTCAAATGCAGAGCTATGTGGACATTTCCATGCACATGTCCTGTTTAAGGTTATTCCACTGAAATAGAACCTGCACTGAGATTTTAGCAAAACTTTGCCTATTGATTGTTTATATTATAGGAACTTAAATTTTAAAATAAAAATGAGGGCTCCTCATGTTTGTTTAGGAGCAACAGCACCTTGTTTATACCCATATAAATCCTTATAATAGCACCATGATTGTAGTCGCAATTGCTTGCTAAATTCACGTTTCCGACGATTGCTTTTTGTTCTACACTGAGAATTGGGCCATATTTATTTTACACAGAGAAGTTTATTACTCAATTCAAAACAACAGAAAAAAATGATAGATCACCATACTTGTTTGCGAGAAAATGACGATTTACCTCTATGGCGAGGTCTAGCTGTAAAGAAAAAGCCGCCATTTTTTAATGCATGCGCACTAATCGTGCGTGAAATTATGCGCAGTAGGGATGCGCAATGCAATACTGGGGAATAACCTTAAATACATTATTTTAATGATTACCCACAACAATTCTGTTTTAGGTATATTTTGTTCTTAATTTCATGAACAATCCTTGAACAAAAAAGAATTAAAATATATTGTTTTTAATATCACACAGGATTGAAATTGACCTTCATTTTGAAAAGGCTTATTGTCTTTATCGCCTCAATAAAACTCAGGAGGCCTTGGACATTCTTAATGCCATTGCTGAGCCATTACAACATGAAAAAGAACTGAAGGCCCAAGTGGTAAGAAGACTAATACATTATTTTAACAGGGCTTTTCAGGTTCAAAACAAAATTAGTCTGAGTTTGTAGACTTCTCTTGTCAAGCTATTTTTTAGCAGGCTAAAAAAGAAGCTATCAGTATTAATAGCTAATTTCAGCAATACAGTAAACACCTGTACATAAGAACAAATGGATTAAGAATATCAGGTTGAAATTTGGCCGATAAAGCACCATATATGTAAGAACCAGTTCAGCCTGATAAACAAAACATGGTCTTATATAATAAGGGAGAGGGTGTTGGGATAAGAAATAATAATAATAACAGTAAATAAAAATAAGAATGATAATGATAATAAAATATGTGAACTAAAGCTCTAATAACATGTTATCTGTAGTATTTCTGAAACAAAGTTTAAGAACATATTAAGAACATCTTCAGGCTGATTTCTCACTAAGCACCTGAGAAATAAGATCCACCCGATAAAAAAGTACTAGATCAGCCTGAACCCCGAAATTATGTGTTCTTATGAAAACTGAACTGATCAACATGACATGAGCGTGAGAAAAAGAAAAAATCTGAGTCCCTGACAGGAATTGAACCCATGACCTCCCGAGCACCAGGCGGGCACTCTATTCACTGAGTCACGAGAACTCATGGAGAGCAAAGTGATTTAACTAAGTTCAGTTAAATGACCTTGCTCTCCATGAGTTCTCATAGCTCAGTGGATAGAGCACCCGCCTGGTGTTCGGGAGGTCATGGGTTCAATTCCTGTTGGGGACTCAGATTTTTTCCTTGCCCCACGCTTGTGTCATGTTGATCAGTTCACTTTTCACATTTCATTACTGAGCTTAAAATTCACCACCTTTATTCACTTATCATGTTTTCTTATATGTGGATGTTTGCTATATTGCTTCCAGACCAGCATATAACACAGAAGTTGCATTCTATGGACTGCTCTCAGTGTTTAAAGATAAATTTAAATAGTCTGGTTTTCCTTTCACTGTTTACACATACTTTGTGGTAATATTTGAGTGCTAAATCAACTACTTGACCATGAATGGGTTCCTGATTATTTGTCATCAGTGTCATTGTTTTTGTTGTGATTTATTTTTTCAGCTGTATCGACTTGAGGACTACAGGGCATGTCTAGATCTATACAGAGACTTGATCAAGAATTCTCAGGTAATCAGTGTCATTTCACTCACCCTGAATAGCTTTCCTATGAAAAATAGTTGTTCTCGTGACATTTAAAATATGCTGGACCCATGCATACATGTATTAACATAGATATAAATTTTGGCTTGTAATTTATTATTAGAATTAAAAATAAAGAATTGGTTCATGTGTATCTATGGTGATCAATACCTTCATTCTGCTTATAACCTTCAAGGCTGTGGTCTAAAAAGAATTACAAGGAGCCCAAAGGTTTCTAACCATGAAATCCTGGGTGTCCCCAGCACTTTAACGCTTATATGAAAAAAAGCTGTCAAAAGTAAGTTGCCTGTGGCACCCAGGTGCTTCTAGAGCACAGCCCTGGCCTTTACAGCTGACCTAGCATTTATTGGTATTGTGAAGAGAAAAAAGGTGCTGATCCATTTAATTTTCTGCTTGATTTTTATAGGATGATTATGGAGATGAACGAGAAACCAACCTTGCTGCTGTTATTGCTGCTGCTTCTCAGTGGGGCAGACTTAAGATGGTATAACTCACATTGCAGATTGTGTTGAGTATCATAAAATGTTGTCATTGGCCTGGGCTAGTAGCTATCAGTAGGCATGCAAGTTAAAACATTTATTTGGTCAGTATTTAGTGGTATAATTGTACTATGTGATGTAGCTGTTCCCCTTAGCCATGTTATCCAAACTTTAGCAAGTCCTCCAATAAATACTTTCTTCAATCGCTACTTTTTTGGATTTCCCAATATGCCCCCACTCATGCAGCCATCGACATGTACATAAACATGTATACCTTTCAACTGACCTATATGAACATTGTATATTAATTAACATCTGATAACTAAAGGTAAAAGTTCCTAGACTGTATTTACTACATCATTATAGACATAAATCAGGGCTCGAAAACAGTGCTGTCCGGTCATCAGGAACAAGTGTCAAGCAAGTAACTCCTCATTCTCACTTGCCCGATGGGTAAGGGCCCGGTCAAGCCATCTGGCAACTAAAAAAAAAAACAAAGTAAGCTAAGACTTGCCCAGGGTAAGTAAAATTAATTTTGAGAGCTGCTTGTCTGAAGGGCAGGCTGGCATTCAAGTTTCTTTCAATTGAAACCCTGATAAACATCACTGGTTTGTTCATTTGGATTCTGGCTGATCTAGAACTTGTATTATACAGGATGACCCTGGTTTGAGAGAAGACACTTACGAGCTGTGCTATAACTCAGCATGTCTTTCTCTGGGTCAGAGTGATGTTGAAGTTGCTCAACAAAAACTAAGGAGAGCAGAAGGTAAACTTACAAATTCATCTTTATGCAATATTCTCAATGTTCATATTATGCACATTCTTTATACATGTTTCGGTCATACATGCAAAGGCAATAATAGTATATTGCCTGTCTACAGATTTTACATTGTGAGAAATAACACTCTGCCACTAGACACCAAGTTTATGAAATTATCCGCAACTAATTTTACTAATTTTTAGACATCACGTCCAAGCACTAAAATGACTTAGGCTGTTTAAAACCTTTTTGTCAGGAAGATCTTGTTTGCCTTGAAACATTTCCAGAATCACAACTCAGACAGATCCATGGTTTGCTTTGTTTTAACAGCCTCTCCAGACTTGGATAAAACATGAAATAAACATCTGCTTTGCACACTTTTTACTTTATGCATAGCATACCTCTGGATTGAGTCATTCAGTCAGGGATTAATTATTGTGTATGCAAATTGCATAATTAATATCTGACCAAGTTATTAATATGCAGCCAATAGACCTTTCCTGCATTCCGCTTCAGTGCTTTCGAACAATAGTACCAGAGCAAGGTTGGGGTGAACATTTTCGTACATTTCTTGTAATTTTGTCCACCCTGACCTCGACTCGGTGCCATTGTTTGTTGGAATGCGGGAAAGGTCTATTAGCGATTTGAAAGGACACAATCGTGTCCTGTAATGTAATGAAAATTATTTTCATCACTGTTTTGATCTAAAGTATGACTTTGTGCTTTTTCAGAGCTTTGCCAGAGAAGCCTTCAAGATGATCCTGTAAGTGTTCTTTATTGGTGTTTTTAGCAACAACAGCAGCATTCTGTTTGAATTTCAGGCTGAAGCTACAGTTTGACTTGAGATGTTACTTAAGATGGATTCCGCTCAAAGTTTGAGCAATAAGTGCAAAAATGTTTTACAATAAATGTACTCATTGCACAGTAACTTTATAAATTCTATTTGAAAAATCTCACTTTAATTCACTCCTCTGAGTGACCCCGTGATTAAATTCTCAAGCATTCTCAAGAAACTCAATGTGAAACCTCATAGGAGCAAGTGTTGAGTTTTATCCTCATGTTGCAATTAAGTTTAGTTTGGAAGCATAACTGCTCTAAAATATTGAGAGACATATAGTTCCTATTTTGGCTCTGTACAGAAGAACGATAATGACAGGAAAACTTGTTTACTACTTCAGGATGTAGCAGAAGAAGAGATTGAATCTGAGATGGGTGTTGTCAGGACTCAGCTTGCCTACACTTACCAACTGCAAGGGAAGAATGACGATGCACAGAAGCTTTATAATCAAGTTCTCAAATGCAAGTATGTAAATGTTCTTCCTAACTCAATGATAACAAAGTTACTTTGAGTTCATCCATACAGCAGTTAGTTGTATACAGCATGTCAGAGAACATGTTGTCAGGGCTGTGCTCTAGAAGTGCCCAGGTACCACAACTGACTAACTTTTGACTTTCGACTGGAAAAACTCACTTTTTTCATATAAGCTTAAGCACTGGGCACCCAGGATTTCATGGTTAGGAACCTTTGGGCTCCTCAAGAGTTTTCATAGACCATAGCCTTGGTTGTTGTATCAGATTTGAAGTCTAACTTAAGGTTACAGTTATTACCTTCTTAAGGTATGGTTACAGTATACCTTCGGGTCGGCAATTTTCTTCAAATTTGGATTTTTGGGTCAAAATAGTGGTCAAAGAATAATCTTTAATTTCTGAAAAAAATTTTTGAAAAAGGCTAAATATTGGCGGAGAAATGGCAGTTTTATGTTTTCACCGAGAGTAAAAGTTTACCTCTTGATTGACAGCCCTA